CGTACTCCTGGGTAGGCCTCGCCACGGATGGGTAGGGATGGGGAGAGATGGGGAGAGATGGGGAGAGATGGGGAGAGATGGGGAGAGATGGGGAGATATGGGGAGATATGGGGAGAGAGGGGGAGATACGGGGAGATATGGGGAGATACGGGGAGATACGGGGAGATATGGGGAGAGACGGGGAGATATGGGGAGATCTCGCCTCTGCGAGCGGCGACGCCTCGCCGGCGGGCGGCAGGGCGACCACAAAGGCGGCGTGGTCCGAGGTGCAGAGCAGCCTCGACCCAGCCCTCTGCGGAGGCGCGCGCAGAGGCGCGCGCAGGGCGCACGCGGCGCACACGGTCGTGGGGAGCTGCCACAGCTCGCGCCGGAGGGCGCCTATTGAGTGAAGCCGTCGATGAGCCGAATGAATCCATTCGAGCTGCCACAGCTCGCGCCGGAGGGCGCCGCCGCGGCCGGCCGAGAGCAGCAGCAGCTCGCCTAGAGGGGTCCGAGAAGGGTCCGAGAAGAGGCGCCCGACAGGCGCCGAGAGCCGCCGCAGCAGCAGCAGCACGCCCGCTCGAAACAGCACCGCGACCGCGTCGCTCGCGCCGCCCTCCTCAGACGGCGGGCACGCGAGAAGCTGCACAGCTCCGCCTCCCACCCGCAGCCGCGGCTCGGCCGGGGAGGGCGCCACCGCCACCGCCGCGGCGTCGTCGGCGTCGGCGGCGGAGAGGCGGGACGCGTGTAGCGTTCCGCTGTCGTCAGCGTGCAGCATCCTTAGGCCCGGGTAGGGGAGGATGGGTTCGGGTACCGTGGGGTAGGGAAGGATGGGTTCGGCTACCGTGGGCTATGTGAGGATGGGATCGGGTACCCCGGGCTAGGGGAGGATGGGTTCGGGTACCGTGGGGTAGGGGAGGATGGGTTCGGGTACCGTAGGCCGGTCCCGCCAACGAGGGCGTGGAAGAGGGCGGGGGCGAGCGGGGAGGCGGCCGCTGCGCCGCCGCACGCCGCCGCGCCTTCGCCGGCGTTCCTGACCACGAGCACTGGCGCGAGACGGGCATCGCACATCGCGCCGCACCCCGCCGGCAGAAGACCGCGGGGCAGCGCGTCGGCGCGCGCGAGGAGCGGCCTCGCCGCGGCGGCGAGCGCCGCGAAGCTCCGCATCAGCGGCGCCTCCACCTGCTGCGCGTCGCCAGCCACCGAGGGAAGGCTCCACTCGGACGCGTCCTCGCCGGCGGGCGGCGGCGTCCGCTGTCGCTTGGCTCCGCACGCGGCCGCGGCCGCCGGAGCCGCGCCGAGCCTCCAGCGGCGGCCGTCCGCCGTCACGGCGCTGACCGCGACCGCACTGCCCGTGGCCGAGTCCCACTGCAGGAGCACCGCTCGCGAAGGAAGCCGCCACGTGCGCAGCCGCTCACCGCCGCGGAGCAGGTGGACGAGGTGGCCGCAGACGGTGACCGCGACCAGGTTCGGCGGGCGGGTGGCGAGCAGCGGCTCGTTGTCCTGGAGAGGCGACAGAGCGTGGGAGTCGAGGAGAGAGGTGGCGATGGCGGGAAAGGCAGCCATTATCAAAAAGAAGAAACCGCCGTCCGTCAAGAATACCACTCACACACAAAGGGCGCATGCGTAACGACGCTGCTACAGATGCACTCGGGGGACCGGGGTTAAAACTGCTGAATGAAGCCATGCGTGACCTACTACGTTGGAGCAGGTGTGGTGGACGCCTCATGGCCTCAACCCACCCGCGCTAGGTCTCGGGGGACGCAGCAGGGATACCTGCTAGCCGGGGAGCAGCAGAGCCGACAGGATCGCTACGGCGATGGGCCTGAGGCGGCAACCAGAACCGGAGGAAACCTCACCAGGTCACTTGCCGAAGAGCGAGCTCTCCCACACTACTGGACGCGAGCAATGTGCGTGCTGCAGAAGCCGCGGCCGCCCGCTGCGGCCGAGGCGGCGGAGCCGGAGGTGCCTCGCGGGCTTGGTGTTGTGGGGCGGTTGCTGTCTGGCGTGAGGTGCCGTTTGAAAGCGCTCAGATAAAAACAAAACTGAAAATCTGGCCGGCACGTCGCCCCAGCAAAAATGGTACCGACCCAGGCCTCGTCCCGAATCCAGCCCCATCCAGTTCCGCGTGAGTCGAGTGAGTGTGTACATGGCGGCAGCCGCCCGCAAGCGCGCCCGCACCGGCGGCGGCGGCGAGGAGGACGAGGAGCCCGTGCCGGTCGCGGGTGGCTTCGAGGCGCCCATCTTTGGCGCGCGCGTCGTCGGACAGGTCACCACGCTCACGCTCGAGGGCGAGGACGGCCCTCTATCGTTCGGTCCGGTTGGCGTCGCGAGCGACCACGCGGGCGCCTGGTACGTCGCGACGAAGGACTCGCTGCTGCACGTCTCGGCGGCCGGGCGCGTGCGCCGCGTGGCAGCCTTGCCGGCAAGCAACGTCTTCAACAGCATTGCTGTCAGCCCGGACAGGAGCGCGGCGTTTGTGGCGGACTACAGCAACCACAAGATCCGGCGGGTGGAGGTG